TATCGGGAGCTGTACTAAAACAGCCAGTACATTCCAGCATCGAGAGCTGTACTAAAACAGCCAGTACATTCAAGCATCAAGAGCCGTACTAAGCGTGCAGTTTATTCCGGTATCGAGAGCTGTACTAAAAGTAGTGAAACTTTTATTTCAGTATCGAGAGCTGTACCAAAACAGCCAGTATATTCCAGTATGCCTTGCACGTACTGAATACTGTGCAGTACCGCCAGTACTATACTGTACTAAACACACCCGTGAATCTCTGCGAACGGTGTTGCACATCATCAGTGGCTAGACCACCAGACCACCGATGAAAAAAGGAACGTCGACGAAGAGATTCGAACTCTCGCGGGCATAGCCCAACGGCTTAGCAGGCCGTCACCTTAACCACTCGGCCACGTCGACCGGTATGCGGATTTGAACACGCTCCCCTAGTAAATATCGAGTGAACATGCTCGCGAGGTACGCATACGTCCTTAGTTCCGCCATCGACTGGGCCAAACACACCTAATGGTTCGGTACAAGGAAATCCCACGGAGACACGCGATTTTCTTGGACTTGTATTTTTCTTTGTTTTTAGGCGCACAACTTTCCCCCCGTAAAATCGAATCAAACTACCCTGTTCGTGCATTAGTTAGGGTCGTGTGTAGACAGGAAGTGTTATTTTTTTGTTCATCATCGTGAGCCTGGGTATTTTTTGCTTGTAAACAAAAAAGTCGGTGTACTGATGGGACATATGCACACATACCTCCCGTCCAAAAAGTAAAAACTCCGCTGTAACTTGTATGGCTCCGCTTGCGATAATAATAATTAATGAAACATTTCGGCTTGTCGGAAATCAAACCGGCAGCGCTCTGTCCAAGTTTGGTGTGGTGTACGTGATGACCCACGACTCTATCGGTCTCGGCGAGGACGGGCCTACCCACCAGCCCGTGGAGGTCATGGAGCTCCTTCGGTCCACCCCTAACATGATGGCCTTCCGCCCGGCCGACGGGAACGAGGTATGGATGTCCTTACATGTAGGTTCTTTTACTCTTTCTTGTGTCCGAGGGGAACTTGATACGTTCTGATGTTCTTCTGTCCGCCGGGAACGAGGTTGTCATTGCGTAGTTTATATTCCTCCGTAAATAGTCAGTTTTTCGCTTGCATCCATGTCCATGTATGTCACGACTGTTGTCAAGCGTTTTCTCCACGAACGTCATGCCGAATGACTCCACAAACTTTTTTCTTGTAATATTTTCTCTCGTCTTTGTTCTTTCTCTCCTCGTCAGGTAACAGGGTCGTACATCTGCGCGATGGAGGCGGGCTCCACCCCTTCCGTTCTGGCGCTCTCGAGGCAGAACTGCCCCCACCTAATGGGGACCTCTGCCGAGCTCGTGGCCAAGGGGGCCTACACCCTCTGCGAGCACGGACCCGGCGGTGCCCCCGACGTCATCCTCGCCGCCACCGGTTAGTCGTCATGCCGTACCCCACGCTTTCTAGCATTTTCTCTCAAACGCGCGGCGCTTGCTGCGTTCACAGGCCAACACCTGGAACTATGAGTTTTGCTTGCTTTGCAGGAGTTTTTTGTTTGTGCGTGTTCATCACGTTCCCTCTGTTCGAGCGTTGATTCGCGGTTTGTGCCTCCTTCTTGTAGCGCGACACAACCGGGTATGCGAGTATCTTGCTTCCCCTTTTTTGTTGCTCATCGCCTTTTCTGCTGTGGGTCGTTGTTTTCTTGTTCGTCTGAAGTTTGTTGTGTGGTTGATTTCGTGCAAAAGCAACTCGTGTTTTCGTGGGGTGTGAGTGTGGCGTTCTCGCAGTTTTCTACTATGGTCAGGATTCGTCGTACAATACTCATACGCGAGGCCTTCATCACTACTGTGGCGGGCTGGGATTACAAATGAAAAAGCGCGATTACTCTTTCGTGCGATTCTGTTCGACTGTTTGCGCCCGATTTCATTTCAACCCTATGTTACCGTCAACTTTTTTTTATTGTTTTTTAGGTTCGGAGGTGCACATGTGCGTGGACGTGGCCAAGGCTCTCGGAGCCAGCGGCACCCAAGCCCGCGTGGTGTCAATGCCGTGCTGGGAGCTCTTCGAGCAGCAGGACGAAGCGTACCAACTCCAAGGTACGGGGACACTGCTACTATTGATCTATAGTAGCTGCTAATGCTATTGTTTGCGTTGTCTTCGGCGGCGTTCCTCGCGGTGTTTTATCCACGCGCCTCCTCAGCGGTCTGCACAGGTTTAAGGCGGCGCACGTGTCTGAAATGGTACCGTACTTCGCAAACGGCTGTCGTTTGATGCAGCACACAGAACCAAATATCAAACAAAACAATGTGGAGCCCACACACCCCAATTCCGGACTTAATGTGGAGCACGCACACCCCAATCTCGGGCCTTATGCGAGCTTCAATCCTTGCCACGTCCCGTATCTGCTGTTGCTGCTCACGACGACAACGACGACGACAACAACGGCGACCCTCACTCCTCGCTGACACGCCTGCGCTGCCGCCCCTTGTCGCAGTGTTCCCTGCCGGGAGCCCGGTCATGTCGGTCGAGGCCGGCGGCACCCAGGGCTGGGAGCGGTGGGCGCACGCCCCCTTCGGGATGGCCCGCTTCGGCGCCTCGGCCCCGTGCAAGCCTCTCTACGAGAAGTTCGGCTACACCGTGGAAAACCTCACCAAGCAGGCGAGTGCCTTCCCGAAGTCGATGGCGCTTCCCCTTAAAAACGCACTCTGCTTTTAGTGGTGTGGGCTTGAAAGGTCGGCCTCACCGAAACTTGGCGGCTTTCAGTTGGTTGCCCACTGCTTGTGATGCTGAAACTGCTGGTGTTTTGTTGCTTTACGTTTTTGTCGCTTCCTGTGTGTGTGTGGAATTAGCCCTCACCCAGAATCGGGCGCGTTCACGGCGAATTGCTGAACGAAACATGTTGGCATTGCCTGCTGCTGCTGCGCGACGCTTCTCTCTATGAACTTTGTTTTTGCGTGTACCGTACTATGAGATCTTCTGGGTGGCTTGTTTGGGTCTCTCCTACAAGACAAGGTTCTGGACAGACAGCCGAATCTCTCGCTTTTTGACCAAAGCCTGCTGCATGGCCGTGGCCATATCTCCATCGTTGTGGCTTGCGTTTCGCGTGTATCCCCCTTGCCCCCTCAGAACAAAAAGCAATATCTAGTTTAAACTTTCGTGTCCGCACCGTGAGGCTATATCTTCAACGCAGCCAGGACAAGCCGCCGGGGATAGCCCCGGCGGGAGTCTGAAGCCCGCTTTGTTCTTATTAGGAGTCCATGGGAAGGTGAGGCGGCACGCCACCATCCGTACCATTCACATCGTGTGATGATAGCTTCAACCACGGGCCTGTCGTTCCCGCCACGTAACGTTTTCTGTCTCTTTTTCGCCTCCTGCTTGTTTTGTGCACCCCTGCTTTCGCTAGGCTACCAAGGTGGTGGAGTTCTACAAGGCCAAGGGAGGCGCGCAGTCTCTGGTCCAGCGGGTCGACCTGAACCTCGCCCGTTACCACAACGGACATTGATTTTACACGTCACACCGTAGACGACTGCGGCGCAGACAGAGCGAAATGGGAACCTCACCTGGCTAGGTGCTGACACTTGTTTCCGCGTTGAAACAGGGTGATTGGTTATATTTCCGTGAGTTGCTGGGTGGGTGCGTCCCAAGTTGACCAAGAGCTTGGTTGCTTAACGACTGAAACCTAGTTCCGCGTAAGGGAGGACCGTGCTCATTGCGCTAGCGCTGCCTTGGCGTCTTACTCGCCGGCGTACCAGCCGCCGAATGGGGGTATGTCGTAAGAGTTGGGAACAAACGAAAAGGTTATGGTCGTCTATGATGGGCGTGGGCGTGTTTCGCTGTCTTCGGCTTGGAGTGGATGCACCAATGACAGCAGCAGCGGAGACACTCACAATGCTAGGAACGAGTGCGTCACCGCGACGCCCCCGACGTCAACAAACGAGAAAAAGAAAGAAAAAAGAGTGACGCTGAACGTTCTTGTAGCACGAGATTATTTTTCCCGTTCTGTTGATGATTTGGAGATTTTCTGCCGCATGCTCGTTCTTGTCGGCACTTTTTTTGTATGATCCTCATCGAGAGGTCGATGTTTTGTTGTAGATTTGTCGTACGTGTTGGTGCTCTGTGATTGGGATATATGTACGTATTGGACACCCACTCGTTGGTGAGCTGGGTGTGGGCCATTTGGGAAGGGGGCGGGGTCGCTAGGGTTAATGGTGGCCTTGCGTCGACTTGTTTGAATTGACGCAAAGGTACTTGAGCTAACAAAAGGAAGGCACCGGGGGGAAAGCTGTAGTGGTATCCGATAAGATAGCAAATAAGGGATAACATATTATCAGTCTCTGAACAGTATACCTACTCATCTCAGGTACTGACCTTACACCCACAATGTGTCGCGCTTGTGCACACAAGCAGCCCGTGCACTTTGACTCCAGCCTGTACTCAGCTCGCACTCTTGACTCTGCGAGGTGTGTGTGTGTGTTGGGTTCCGCGGTTGACGTGATTTGTGGCTTTCTGTGTCTTGTGGTGCTGTTTGGAGATGGCCATGTGATGGTGCGTTACCATGGGTTAGCTGGCGTTGCCGTAAGCGTTTGTTCTACACGTCATGGCGATATTCAGGAGTAATTCCGAGTCATGTGCCCTCCTATTGAGTGTGCGTTTGCGCTTGGGAATGGTTTCGTGTTGGATTTCCGGCTGCACTGGTGTGCATGCAAGGCTGCAGGAATGATCAAATGAGAGGAGAACAATACAGCAGCGACCTGCCTCTATGGTAGGACTATCGTTATTGAATTTACACACAGCACCAAGGTGATTGCAGTGAAGAGGCGCAAATCACAGCAGTGTGATGCTTTTGGTGGTGTGTTTTGTGTTGGCGATCGGTTGCCTCACACCGTGGATTGGTGTTTTGATGACGACGGTGTCCTCAGGATTGAAGAATCTTTCTCAGCTGTATCGAACACCCCCTTCAGACGTGCACTCTTGAAGAAGGTAGACGAACAAACTGCCGCGGCCGCAGACTCGACACCAAACTAACCACCTGCGCCACCAAACTTCCGAAACTTTTCCTTTCGCACACGAGTGTGATACGACACGTTCCAACCACAAGAACGACACGAAGGGTTCTTTGACAAAAATGTCTAGACTCACCCCCCCCTCGATACACACAGGGACGCGGCGCCCCCTATTCCAAATGACGATTTGGCGGGGAAATAAGGAAATGATTCACCCACCTTCAACATACCAATCGGCAGATCGCCGTAACAAGCACGATGGGTTCTCGTCAACATGCTTCATTGTTTCTTGTTCTCTTACGTCATGGACCAACAATTGAATCGTTACTACAACAAAGACCAATTTTCAGGCGCCTAGCCTCGACGAGACAAAATACAGAGAGGCGAGGCCGTGAGCAAGGTACCTGCACATACAAACATGACTTGAAACACAACTACTTTATTTACTGGCCGCGAGTGTCGCACTGTGTCCGGCTGACCCCCTACAGGCTAACAGCCCGGTGTAAATTACACAGCGGCGTTCCACACGGCGTAGGCGCTATACGCTTTGGTAGCCGCGGAACTGGGGAGGGGGAAGGGGAGGGGGAAGTGATGCCAACGGCGGTGGCTACGGCCAGCCCTTACGCCCCCACCCGTACCTGGTATCAACAAGAATCCTGAGGGAAGAGGTTTGTCTCCCAACGTTCCCCACCCGTCGGTCTAGCGAGTGAAAAAAATATCAGAAAGAGGACGGTTTAAATACCGCAGAAAACTAAACATCACACGCTCTGTTCTTGGACCGCGATGACTGCCTGTTCGTTTGTGCGGAACTCGTTCCTGCCACGACTACAAGCGACGGCGGACAGCGACGGGCTACATACTGCGTTGGAGAATTGTCGTCACCACCCGTCCATCCAATGTTTTTCTATACGGTTCTCCTCACTAAAGAGGGTACGCCGGCTGCTCCACAGCGCCGTCTTCAACCATGGCAGGAGCAGCAAAGCACAGCGCAACGGAATGCCTCAATCATTGTTACCGCTGCCTGACGTCGTCTACCGACCGGGCTAGACACCGCCTCACGCTGCCTGCCGTCCCCCGCCGCTCTTCGCGGGGATGTATGGGCAGCGACCGCTGCTGTTGTTGCTGCTATCGCCCAAGGCGCTCGTCGCCTCTAAAAACGGGGACCCAACCCCGACCGTCGGCCAGCTTGATGAACACCACGCCGGACTCCCCCGCGGGGGTGAAGCGCTCGGCCGCCTCGGCGTGCTGCCCCGGCAAAAGAAACTCGTCCTGAGAGGGGGGGGGGGTTCCGTGAAATGCACGCAGACGCATAACAACATGCATGCACGCAGAGGGTTTGGGTGTGAGCGGGAGGCGGGTAGAGGCTTGACTCAAGAGCAAGGCGAAGGAAGTTCTTTGATTCGTTTTAAGCCGTCGCGTCGTCTTGACAAGACAACACGCGGCGTTGTGGTGATATCGAGGATCCGGCACCAGGGCTCTTCCAAGACGCACGGGCTCGTCTAGCTGTTCTTGGCGCGTCCTCCGTACAGGGAAACGTCCATCTGAGGCTACACATGAGGATCTGCAGAAGCAGTTGCGCGCAAAAACACGCAGACGGACAGGCTGGCCCTCTTCGCATTTTTTCCCTTCCGCAGCAGAACTACAACGGTCGTGTTGTGTGCATACTTGGCTTGCTTTTGCAAGGATGAATACATGGAGAGCACCACGGTCAAAACAATATCGCAACGTTTGGCGCGAAGGGTCCAATGGGCTGGACGTTACGTTGGGAAACAAGAAACGAGAACAAAGCTCGTGAACAGAGACCACAACTTCAGCTTCAACAGCAACAACAGCATCAACAACAACGACAACAACAACGACAACAACAACGACGACGACGAAAACTCTCACTCACCGTGTGATGAGATTCAATTCCAGGGCCGAGCAGAATCGGCACGGGAGCCCTAGCGTAGAGCGGAAAGAAATACTTCTTCCTGTGGGTGAATTGACAAAAATAACGACAGAACACGGCCACGAAAGGACAAAAAGTACAGATACGTTGAAGACTCCGCAGCGTGAGCTGACGCGCGATATGACATCCAGCAACAAACCACTCAGAGATGAACAGCTTTTGAAAAGGCGCCGCAAGTGCCGAGGCGCCACAAGTGCCGACCAGGAACATGTGCCGATGACCAGCGGTAACGCCCAAGCGAGAGAAGACATGGTGGTGGCGAATCGCTCCTCTGGTGGAAGTAAGACTATGAAAACAACGATACAGCACGCATAATCAGAGCAGATCGGGCTGACACTGGCAGCCATTCCTTCTGTCAATCACACTTGGCATTTTCAAGTATTCTTCAGGTTACAAATGGGTCTCACGCTACATATCAGTAAAATTGATAACCTCCACAAGCGGCCTTCCTCCACGGACGTCTACCAACTCCTCCTCGGGAAAAAATCAACCCAGTTCACAAGCAGACGATGGAGAAGTCGAAAGGGCAAAAGAAAGCGGGTCCCCGTACAGTGGCACTTGCTCCGCGACGGGAATAGCGTGCTACGCGTGCGTGGCAGGGTTGGGGAGCGAATGACAAGCCTCAAAAGAAGGACACCACGGTCTGCAGTACAAACGGCAAGAGCACGCTGCCGAGAGGGAGTTAGTTGTGGAGGGGGCCACGCCCGCGCTTCGCACCCCATTCATCCCACGGGCTACCTTGCTGCAGACTGTTACGGAAAAAAATTGGCGTTCGTATCAGGATATCACCACTCGTTAGCTCGCCATAAACAAGGGTTGACCGCGAGGGAGCACAAGGCGCACCCCGCCATGAGAATTTCTCCAAGAACGAAACAACTCTCCTGGAAACGTTTTGGCAAGCAAACGACCCGAAAAACAGCAGCAGGCGTGCATATACTCACGTATCCTCGGTGAGGTCGCCGTTGATCTCCTCGAACAAGACGGTGTTGTCCACGGGGTCTCGTCGCTGGGCCCACCCTCTGTCGTCGGCGATGCGGAGGAACACTTTCCCGGTCTCCTTGTGGGTGAGTACCTGCGCGGAGCGTAACGGAGGAGGACAGGGGTACGTTCCCGTCTCTCTGCCTAAACGTCGTGTCACTGTCGGTGCCCGCATGTCTGTCTGTTTGTCTTTCTGCGTGTGTCTCTCCCTCCCTTCCTCTCTCTCTCTCTCTCTCTCTCTCTCTCTCTCTCTCTCTCCCTTCCTTCTCCCTCCATCCTTCCATCCTCTCCCTCTCCCTCTCTTTGTATCTCATTGTATTTTTTCCATTCACCCCCCTGTCCCCCTCGTGTTGCTCGTATCGGAGTCATACCGGAGCCCACAACATCGTTCTCTCCCGCTCCAATTCACTCGGGAAACGTTCCTGCTGTTTTGACACCCAGTCTTACGAAACTAAGGCCAGACGCCTGCTGACGCTGGCTCTATTTCCATAATATATCCAACATAACAAAGAGAATGCAATCTTCCCGCAGTGTCTAGTTTCACTTGACTACTGTTATCAGTAGAGAACACCATGAAGAGGCGTCGCGTGGTTTGGCACGTTCAGGTTTGCTGCTGGACCTAAAGTATCGAAGGTGGTAGTTGTTGTTGTTGTTGTTGTTGTTGTTTTTCTTTACATCAAACTCGTGTCAGTTGCTCATCCCAAAATCTAGCAAAGACTCGGTCCGTGGTCACAAAAATGCGAGAGCCATCAGAAGATCTACAGAACACACACACACTACTAGCAAGAAAAGGGTACGCAAGCCCGAGGAGGTACACCTGCAATCCCTGCAGCACGTTTGCATGCTCACAACTGAACTACACGCCCACACACTACAATTCAACTACAGCAGCAGCATCATCCCCCTTGTCCCGCATTTAACCAAAATGAATGTTTGTCGACTACAGCGTACTGCTGTCTGAAGTGCTGTCTGTACAATGATAACACCATGGTGCGTGGTACACAAGCTCGGGGCATACAGGTGCTGCTGCCTGAATTGCTGTTAGAATTATAACACCATCGTGCATGGCACACAAGCTCGGGGCATGCAGGTGCTGCTGTCTGAATTGCTGTTAGAATGAATCCGTGGACATACAACGAAGAAGAACACCCAACCAAAGCCAGCCTTGCAATTGACAACCACCCGAATCTATCTAGATCATCTGTGTTAGGCACAGCAGTGTAAACATCGACGCTGACTAGGAATCGGTCCACATTGAAGGGGTCTTCCACGATGCAGGTACACAATCAAGGCACCTGGGTTATCCGCGCCATCTCTGCCGCGTCTCTCTACAAAACCAGTGACGTCGTCACACACACCCAACACCTGTATTCAGGAAAA